AGTAAAGAACTAGAGCGACTTGGGAAGAAAAACATGGATGTAATTCACCACCACCATTTACGAAGTAGAATAGTGAGAGGAATACATCAATAAATATGACCCAAACTTAAATACACTTCACCCCATCCCCCATTCCTCCCATCTTCCTGGCTACCTCCTCCTCCCATCAGTGCAAGAGGGGCAGGCCTTGGGGGTTGCAGTCCATCTGGTCATTACTTGTTGTCCATGGCAGCTCCTCCTTGCGAAAGAGGGATTCTTACAGTCTTTCCTTCCTGCTACGTGGCGTCCACCTCGCAGGAGTCAATTCTTCCTCCTCGGGAGTCCCTCAGGACCACAAATCGCTTTGAGCACGTTCCCCGCTGATGCTCAGTCTCTCTCTGCTCTGGCATGGGGCTCTGCACATACCTACGCATCCTGGACATTCTTGCTGCAATCGATTCCCTCAACTGGCAAGCAATCTCTTTCCTGCCATGTCAGCCACCACGGAGAAAGGTCCTGCTCCGGCAGCTTTCTCCTTCTGTTCCGCTCCCCCTCTTTCTTCTCAAGGTGATGTTCCTTTGTTCTCCTCCCACCTCCCGCTCCTCCAACAGAAAAACTCCCCAACATTAAAGACAGTACAGCTCTAAACAAGACAAAACCAAAAGAGAGAGATAGAACAATGGGGTCGCATCTTAAATACCTTGATTGCAGAGGCACTGATTGCCTTGGCCTTGACCGGAGGCAGGTCCAACTCCTACCTGTGGGTGGAGGGGAGGCTTTTGAAGTTTTGTGTGAGTCTACCCCTGCTTTTACAAAACAACCCAAACACCAGACTCAAACCTATGACAGCAAGTTAATGTTTATGTTTCTATTGATATCAGGGTCAAATTCTAATCACCACTCTTAAGTAAAAGGGCAGATGCTGACATAGCAAAATATAATGTGCTTTGGGATCAATAGGATTTGTCTGTCAAACTGATCTCTTGAAGAGGAAACAGAACTTCTCCGCATTTGAAAACAAGCAGATAAGTGGGTGAGCAAGGGAAACTGGCACTTCTTCAAACAGTGCTTCTGCACACATCTGTGGCTTTGCCAGAAATTGTTTGATATTGGGCTACATCAGTGGCAGCATTCACCCAACACTACATTGATGTCTTTTGTCATTGCTGACAGGAGTGGGAAGTACTTGTGTGAGGCTCTTGGGTTCTGTGTGATGGGGAAGTCCTGAAGCATGCAGGATACCTGTAACTTCCACTAGCCCTCTCTGTCAGTGGCAAGTGATTTGGGAACGAGTTTTCCTTCCAGAACTGCCATGGCAATCAGCAAAGAGAAGGATTGACAGGTCTTGACTCTTGAATCATGTTGATAAGAGGCAAATTGATTAGTGGCTACTTGGTAAAAGTTGGTAGGATTACCAGTCAAGTGTTGTTCCAAATGAAGTCAGTGAGAATTTGCCTGTAGCTCTGAAGTTATCTTTTCCTGCTTTGCAACTTTCATGTTAATTCTTACCCATGTTTAGCATTTCAGTCTGCAGTAGAAATGAAATACCAGTAGCTTAATGTTCATAATAATTCTGTAATAACAAACTATGGTATGTTTGTGCTGGAGAGAAAAAATTTAAATGTGGTATTGCATTTCTATTCCTAACTTTGAAGGCTTTCTCACTGGATCTCCTTAGCTGTGTTGGGAGAGAATGGAAAAACATGTCATGCAGATCTTCTGCCACAGGTATGAAATACAGCTGAAGTTTCTTGACAGACATCTGGAAGTTGGCTTCTGTTTCAGACAAACCTGGTCTAAGTTTTATTTAATCTGAAATCACAGGAAAGTTGGTGAATTGAGTTGATTCCTCCTGGGGTTCTCAAGCTTGTTCAAGCTCCCAGGCTCACAAGTCATAGTGAATTAAAATCCTGCCCTGAAGGGCTTGCATGGCAACTTTGCTTAGAAGTGAAATTGCCAGGCTTCACCGTTATGCTTCTAAACCAATTCACTACTGTTTAAAAGGAGGCTTGACTGAGCTCATGATAAGACACTGATGCTGGCTTTTTCAGCATTAACCTTACAGCCTTAAAATACAGTGGACTTGGTGCTGCAGCAACTGAGGGAATTACTGAGAAGAGGAAAATTAGAACTGTGTCAGCAGTTACAGGTCTGATTTCTGGGTACAGGAAGAAACTACTCTGATGGGAAAAAAAAAAATCCAGCTGGCTTTTGGGATAGACATATGCTGCAAAGGAAATTTTCCCATTGTTATGGAGACTGCTTGAAGAGTTGAGTGCTTGAGTGGCTACAGGTAGATTAGCAACGGGAGGGGGAGCTCTCACTGCATTACCCAAAGAGGAGGGAAATTCTGGACTTGGTAGCAAGCCTTTAAATGAAGATGACTGCGCTCCAGCTATTCCCTGTCAATAAAATTGGTGGCTGCTCTTCATATAGGCAGGACCATTGGAGAATGTGCATGCTGGGATAAAGAAAGGCAATTCTTGTCTGGTCCCTGTGTCTGTTGCTATTGCTACCTTATTTTTTTTGGTTCCAGGCATAACGTAGTTGTTTTACTGTCTAAGAAAGCTGTATTGCAGCTCTGATGTAGCAGATGTATTTCTTTCCCTCCATCCTTACTAGCAACTTCAAATACCAATGTCCTGTTTCTCAGCTCTTGTGAGTGTTCCCTGAGATATCAGCTTTAGAGAAGAGGGATAGATAATGAAAATATATGTGGGACATTACTTTTATGGTTAGAGCAAAAACTGCTGCAGCGGAGAATGAAGAATTCCTTTCCAGTGCAAGTAGAATGAACAAGATTGAGAGATTTGTAAAACAGTGTTATTTAACTGCTATTTTAAAGGCTGGGTGCAACTGGGAAACATAGTAACATTTAAAAATTGAGGTATAGATCAAGGAACAAAGAAGTTTAGGGGTTTACTAAGCTGAAGATTTCTCTGAAACAGAAGCCTGCTGCCTCTTGTAACTGTTTGCACTTAAATATCTCTCAAACCATAGTTTTTTCGATCACTTTCTGAGCCAAGGGAAATGCAATTCACCTTTCCTATTTATGAATGGGGAGCAGAGACACAGAGAGTGGGGTTTGCAAGGGAGAGAAGGGTTTGTTTTACCACAGACAAGTGTAAGCAGACACATGGATGTAAGTGGTAGGATGCAGGCTAGCTCTGGCTTAGGAGCTGTATAGTGGTGTCAGCTCTAGGCTGTGTCCCAGAGGATCTCTTGGTGTATTGGTTCAGGCAAGGTGCCAGTAAGATGCTTTTTTGACTTCCAGTTCAGAGCTTGCTGATGATATGGGGTGAGTGGACGGATCTCTCATCTGAGTCCACCCAACTATACAGATATGCTTCAAGTTACTTTTAACGTTCATGGAGTGAAAAGGGACTATATTCAGTTCTTCTGTAACCTGCATAAAAGCTGGCTCAAATTATTAGCATCTGTCTTCTTTATTTGAATGTGCATGGTATTGGTCTTTATGCACGTGTCATTGTTAATCTTGCTGTGTCTGTGATGTTAACTTGGATAATATCAAAATATTTTTAGGTAAATGCTTTAGGTTTTGCTTGGCCTTTGTTTTGAAAAGGAAAGACGCTAGCCCTCTTCTGCTTGAATTATTAATCTAACGTAACTGAGTGTTTTTATTGTAGGCTCTTAACATTGCTGATATTTTTTCAAAAGGTTTTGAGTAAGAGGAACTTATTGTGAGAGTCTACTCATATTCTGTATAACAATAGGAATAATCTTTCCTTTAATAGTATATGTTGGTATCTCTACACTCATGATACCTTTGGCTGGCAATAATATAAGTAAGTTTTTATTCATCAACTTCTCTCCAAGTTTTGTAATTTGCTGGAATTAAATAGGGAATCTGGGAATAATACATGATCGTAGATACAGTGCATATCATGCAGGCTTATTTCCAGAATGTCAGTGGAGGGTTATATTAGAACCTTTTGTTTTGCTGTAGTATGATTACAAAGATTCTTTTGTAACTTGGGACATTGACTCTGAAAGGAAGAAATGTGAGAGGTATCTGGCAAGAGAAGATAACATGAATTCAATTCTAGCATTGCTGTTGTTCTTAACGACATTCTGATTGGCCAGCAAGATCTGCAAAAACAGTCATGGTCACGTCTATATGACTTTGAATACCTATCAGGAAGAAGAGCAATCCAGGGTCATAGTGCTTTAAACACTGTCAGTTAGGTCTCAGGAGGGACTGAATGTGTTGCCGTTACCAGAGAGGAGAAAATGTGACTAACTGCATTGAGACCAACACTATTTTTTTCTTTTTCTTTCTTTCTTTCTTTTTTTTCCCTTTCTTTTCTTTTCAGCTAAACTAAGTTCAATTTAGGGTGGTCTTTAAAACTAGCATTATTGAAGAGTGGACAAGCAAATGGCAAGCAAGCAGTGTCTATATAATAGGAATAAAACCAAAGATTAATTTTATGTGTATGATATTCTTTTCCCAAATAGCTGGGGAGGTAAGAGCTTTAGGATGCATTCATGTACTAGTCATTTCAGCTATTCAGGAATGAACCATGTATTATCAGTGCAAATTTTATTTTGTTTTAGATAGGGGTCACTGCAGGATTGGACTGAGATTTAAAGTCACTGAAAGAAGCTACTTTGAGACACACCTTTTGAGAAGCTGCTTTGAGACACACACTTTTGAAGGTGTGCCTGTGCTAGCTGTACAAAGACAGAAGTATCCAGTAATTTCTGGGCCTGTTAAATCCATGCGTTATACCACAGAGTTTGTAATCTTTTGCAGGAGGTGCAAACTATACCGATAATGAAATATTTGCAATGTACAGATATGTATTGTGTATTGTTGTAGTTTTAGCTGGTTTAGTTATGCTGACTGAAAGATGACTGGCTTGTCATGATTTTGTCCATGTACTTTAGGGGAGTGTTAGGTGACTATTCACAAGGACCATGCAGAGGCCAGGCATACTTTGTGCTAAGAAGTTACTTTATGCAGATTTGTGAATAATACTGTGGTTCTTGATTCCACACAGATGGTACCAGACAGGAAGAAGTGGAAAGTGAACTCAGTGAAGAAGAACGCTGGTTTGGAAATTCTTCAGAAACTCCTTCAGAAGCATCATATGGAGAAGTCCAGGAGAACTTTAAGCTGTCTCTTGAGGACAGAATCCAAGAGCAGTCCACCTCCCCAGATACTTCTTTGGGAAGCGCAACTCCTAGCAGCAACACAGCGGAGCTGGGATCCATTGAAAATGAGGCTCTAAGAGACACGTTACAGAGCAAAGAGCACCTTTCTCCTGATGTGTCATCTCTGTGTGAAGAAGAACCTCCTGGTCCAAATAAGCCACTGAGTAGTAACCTGAGGCGGCTACTGGAGGCTGGTTCCCTCAAGCTGGATGCTGCTGTTACAGTAAATGGCAGAGTTGAGTCTCCTGTAAATCTTGGCTCAAATATCTCCTTCTCTCCACCTGCTCACCATGCCCAGCAGCTAAGTGTTCTTGCCAGAAAGCTTGCTGAGAAACAGGAACAAAGTGACCAATACAATGCAGGTAGTCACTTTATATGGAATCAAGGTAAGTGGCTGCCAAACTCAACCACCACCTGTGGTTTGTCCCCTGATTCAGCTATCCTGAAACTGAAAGCCGCAGCCAATGCCGTTCTGCAGGATAAATCTCTTTCAAGGACTGAAGACCCTGTAAGATTCGAATCCTTTTCATCACCTTTTAGTTCTCAGTCAGCCAGCTCCACGTTAGCAGCTTTGTCTAAGAAAGTGAGTGAAAGAAGCATGACTCCTGGGCAGGAGCACCCACCTCCAGCTAGTTCTTTCCTTTCTCTGGCTTCCATGACCTCTTCTGCTGCCCTTCTCAAGGAGGTTGCTGCAAGGGCTGCAGGCACCCTGTTGGCGGAGAAGAAGAAATCACTGGTTGCTGAGGATCCCCTGCAGCTTTCAGAGATGAAGCAAGAGAAAGCAACTCCACCACAGTCTTTGGAATTACTGTTACTGCCAGTCCCTAAGGGAAGAGCATCCAAACCCAGTAGTACAGGTATGGATACAGTTTGAGCCACTAAGGATGTATTTGTTTTGCTATAGGCTTATATAACATCTCTTCAATGGGTCTGGATTTGGTTTGATTCCGTGTATCATGTATAGAATAAGAAATAGGTACTTCAGGTAAACAATAGAAAAGCTTTTTAAAATACCACTTGAAGAACAGACTGTCACAAATGTTTTCATATTTGAAAGATCTGAGTGTACTGTTCAATACTTTTTTTTTGGTTATTATTTCACACAATTGTATTTCTCCCTTGTAACAAGTTCAGAATAAGTCCACAAAAATATTTAATGGCGAATATCAAAGAACCCCTGTTAGGGAGCTCATGGTATCACTGAGCGTGTACAAAAGTACTGCTTTTGAAATAATGGACAAGGGAGAATTCTCCCTCCTGCTGTCTCTGTCACAAATGGACTTTTGTGTAATCGCTTACTACCCTGTCCCAATTTACCAGAGTATATTATTATGTTGCCACTTTTCATTAAAATTTTCTGCAGTAGTTCAGTATTTTACAATCCTTTGTTGTTAACAACAAAAAAACCAACCAAACTGCATTTCTCTAATTTGTTCAGCAAGAACCATATTACACTTCTGACTTCTCTCCACTGGTTCTGGCTCTTGGCAGTCAAGGAATCTGACTTACAGGGAAGAAGAAGGAACAGTCTTGGTAACAAAAGTTTTCAAGAACTGGCAAGCCATACAGGGAAATTCAAATGATCCATCTTCAAAATAGAGAGAAATAAGGTTTCTTTCATCTCTTTCTATAAAAAGTTCACATCATGGATTCATGTTTCTGGTAGAACGTACAGCATCAGGTGTCGTCAGTGTTCTCCCTGGAGTGGCATTCTGCTGCAGGGGAGAAGGAAGCATGGCAGCTGTCTTCACAAGGTGCACAAAGTGGTTCACTATATTAAAGCTTTATCAGGCTGCTTTTTGTCAGGAGTACTAGCTTGACTGTACAGGTATAGCAAGCCAGTGTACAGACATGAAGCCTGACATGGACACTGTATGATTGCACTGCCTTCTTTCTGGGGTTATCATATCCTCCTTTAGGGATATGATGAGGTCTGGTCTGTGCCTGTGCAGCCCTTGGTAAAAACTCATAGGGTAGAAGCTATTGGATGGACAGAAACGCTCATTCCCACACGGAAGAGGAGGGAGAGGAGTGTGAGGTGGAGCTCATACTAGTGTTTTGCTCTGGGTTACATGTGTTTTACAAATGCTTTGCTGGTATGTTTTGCCAAGGCAATTAAAGTGGCAAGCTATTCTTGGCATGGGTCTGGCCTAAGGTTTTCATTAGTTTAGATGAAGTTCTTTTTGGAGTAACATAAGCTAAACCAAGAAAAGGTTCTTTCATGTGGGAATAGGAGTACCCACATTGGTGTTTACGCCAGTGTGACTGGATGTTAATGTAATGTAACTTTCCCCATGAAGACTGGCCTTCATATAAGAAAGACAGTAATATATAGAAAAGGAGTAAGTTTAAAATTTATTTGAAATTATTAGTTTAATTCAAAGCTGTACACATGGCAAGTTTCTACTGGAGAAAAATAAACGGTTGTAGTGAAATTGAGGTTCTGTGTTTGACTAACAAACTGCAGGATTTGTCTGTGCAGTTTATACTGGGGGAGTGCTCTGTAGCAGTGAACGAGTGCGCTGGTAGTACTGGCACTTTATAAACTAGCTCTGATGCAGCAAATTCCTAGCAACTACTCTCTTTGCCAACGGCCCAAGCATCCTGTGCTACTAAAAGATAACAATGGGGGCTAACTGCCTCAGGTCCTTGGTTAGCAAGGAACAACTATTCATTTTTTTATAATATATGGGACTAGTATCCCAAGAGGAAGGGTGTTTCCTTTCAGTTCATACACACTGGGCCAATGCCAGTTGGCATCAAGCAAACTTTTTAGTGTAATGTTCATAACAAAAGTTCTTTAAGGCTCTTATATGCTATGAAATTTTTCCTTTCTAAATAATTAAACTACTGAAAATAAAAATGAAGTTGTTTATTGGCATATCTGGATGTTGATTGTAAAAAGCCAGTCTCCTTAATTCCTTCAGCTGTAGAGAAATGTGGCTTCAAAAAGAGGTCACTGTTTAGTGACCTTTGATTGAAGACTTCACTTCTTGTAGAAGTTGTGTAGGGCAGCTGAGTGTGTATATTTGCCATGAAAATAAGTCACATGTTCTTGATTCCTTTTGCACTTATGACCTTTTGGCACTAAAAGCAAAAAAAATGTATTTCCTTTCATAATGTTTTATCTTTTTGTGTCTGTCTGGTTGCTTCTTGAGACATGTCAGTTTTTGTCTTGTTCCCAGAGAGATGCATCTTTTCCCAATAGGCATAGCTTGAGAAATGTTTTTTTTTCCCCTCTCATACTTTGGACTTTTAAGGCACCGGTGAGTTTGCTTTATTGTTACAAATCCCATTCACTTACCCACCAGCAACATCAAGCTTTGGTTGTGAGATCAATCCTCAGTGAGATTAATTAGATGTCAAGAAGTAAGGAGCAGCAAAGATGGAGGATACCGAAAGAGGAATAAGTTAATAACAAGAGTATGCTTGATTCTCTTTTGGCCCCCATGTTGAGCTATTTGCTCAGAATTATTTTGGGCAAGAAGCTGGAGCCCTGGCTTGTCAGAGCATAGTCACTTCTGAAACTGCCTGTCAGATTTGGTGGACTCACATAGGTTATGGTAAAGTGGTATAGACAAGACTAACTTTTCTATCAATCTGTTAATATTTCCAGTTCTATAAAATGTTCACGTGTTTGGGATGAGCATTAAAAGGAATCCTGGGATCTCTATGAAAGTTCTCCTGTAATTTTTGGAAGAGGGTGGGTGGCAGACCCTTCTTTTACTGACTGAATGCTTGTGTGGTATGACTTTCTGCCTGTGATGCTTGCACTTTTGTTCCTGGAGGTTCTTTGGGAAGCACTGGCTGATTCTCTCCTCCCTGGCATCATTCCTTCCAACTGTCTGACACCATGTGACATAAAATAGACATCAATATATATATGAAGGAAAGCTGAAGCCCATGATTTTCTTTGTTATGCTAAAGTTTGTGTAGGATAGTAAAGAGCTAACATGGTTCAGCTTTGGAGAGTATTGACATAATTCCTGTTTACCATTAATTGTCATTGCTGTTGGTGACATCACAAGCATTCAGTTTGGTTCTTTGCATTTTTTGTAATGTGCTAAATTACTGTTGACCCATCTTGTTTGCAGATTTATTTTTAATGGGGTGAAAAATAGGTAATATCTTGTTATACATTTCTTTTATGGATCCTTTGTGATGATAACCAGAGGGTAAGATATAAGGAAAAGTAATGATAGGTAAAAATGCTACAAATATATATTTTTTTTCCCCTGTGGTTTGTCTTTCTCCTGCCTTTTATGATGAAGTAAGTAAAAATGTCATAAACCTTGAAACACAAGCACTTATAGCCTTGGTTTGGACTTACTCTTTAGAGGTGCAGGGAGGAGAACAATTAGATAATATGTTGAGTGTGATAGAATATTTCATGAGAGGAATTTCTGTACTTGCTGAAGTGCATGTTTTGACAAGGTGTCCTTTTTTGTACTTACATAATGACTGCCTAATCAGTTGAATTACAGTGTTTTTGTTTCCTACCTAATAGAAAGAATTATATTTTTAGGATATGACAATTTTTTTCTGAAGGTTATCATTTAGTGCCTTACCAAGGGAATTTGGTGTTTGCTGTATCCTTATCAGTAGGAAATAACTGATAATAATGAGATTAAATATTCTGAGAGAATTTCTAAATAGCAGGATGTACGTTATTGAGCTCTGGGTATTTGAAGATAGTCTGTCTTTTACAGTGAGGAAAAAAAGCTTCCAATTCCATGGTAATACCAGACCATTCTTTATAATAAGCAGAGGAAATCATGATGAGAGGATGAATGGATGGTTAGTCGTGTAAAGTCATTAGTGAGGAATTCCTCTTTCCTTCAACCTTGCGATGGTTCCACGCTCAGTAGACTAAGTATATTTGCCTGATAAATGCCACCAAATCCTCTTCTTATTTTAGGTGAATTGGGCGGTAAAGCAGAGTGCAAACATTTAGGAAGGAAGTAGATTTGAAGTTCTGACAGCTAGAGGAGCAGAAGGAAACCCACGGCCCAGAGACCCCTGATGGCTGAAGTTGCAGCAACATCTGCTTGAGCTGTTAACTAAACAGTTTTAACAACAGGGGTTCTGAAGTCGTTCACTTCTGGAGATAAATATATCTGATATGCAACATCAGCATGCTTTTCAGTTAAATCATGAATTGTTCTATGCTTTATATCTCACTCTCCTGCTGGCTAACCATCAGATACGGAAATAGATCATTTTTTAACAGTTAAGCATATATTCCGTATCCTACTACAACTGGCCTTTGATAGGAAATGAAGCTGCAAAGTGATGATTATGAGAGAGATCCATCTCAGTTTAGTTGAATTATAGGGACCATTAGGACCAGGTGAGATAGAGTAGCATCCCCTACTGATTAGCAAAGGATGTTTGGGACATTAACCTTTATAAATTATGGTGACCTTTCTTAGAGGCAGAATAACTAGATTAAGGGAAAAAGGGATATGCAGGGGGGAGGAACTGAAATTTCTGGTACATGCTGTTGTTTAACTGATGTGTCTCTTTACAGATGAAATTCTAGCATTGAAAAATGATATCTTGAGTATGTTTGCAAGGGGAAAGTACTCGACAAGTGGCTGTAAAGGATCCTCTCTTTTTCTTCCCCCCTTCTGCTAAGCCTCAGAAGAAGAAGGAGGAAAACCTTTCCAGTGTCCGATCTGTGGTTTAGTTATCAAGAGGAAGAGTTACTGGAAACGGCACATGGTGATTCATACAGGTTTGAAAAGTCATCAGTGTCCACTCTGTCCATTTCGCTGTGCACGCAAGGACAATCTCAAATCACACATGAAGGTAAGAGAAGTGTTTGTTGATAATCAAAACACTTGAATCATCAATCAAAAAAATAGTATAACAAACCATTTGCATTTCAAGAACGAAATTTCCCTAGTTGTACTACTAGTGATGCCTTTATTTAAAGAAAGAGACCATAAAAAAAAAAGAAAGAAAAGAACTTTATTTCCTTTTGTTTGCCTTCCCATTTTATGCAATGTAGAAACTGCCTTCTGTTATTTTAGCTTGGTGCAGCAGAAGCTGTCTGTGACTGATTTAGTTCTGGACCTGGAACCACCAGAAGTGGAGATGTTAGCTGAGATGTGACACTGTGCAAACACAGCAGTGCTGCTTTTTGGGATGCCAGCTAGTATATCTGTATGCCATGGCATCATGCTAAGTGGGCATGCCAGTCTGGCCAGCACTAGCAGGGAGTCTCTTTGGTACTTTCTACCTTTCTACTTTCTACCTAACTTTTTTCTTACTGTAGTTTTTAACTGCAGGCACTTCAGCAGTGAAGCATCCAAACCAAAATGAATGACGGATTATACGCTAATGTCTTGTTTTCAAGTGTTTCCATTAAGTTTAAAGTGTGCTTTTAACTCAGCCTAAGTTTTAGGCTCAAGCTGCAGATAACCTTTTGAAAGAAACCAGATCTGTGTTGATACAGAAAAATAGAAAAATGTAAAGGAATTCTCTGTCTGTGTAGCTGAAGTACTACAGGGCTGCAACATACGAAGCTCCTAGTCTTGCAAGAACATGCTTGGTGAAGTAAAAATGGTACCTGTCCCATTAGCCCATGAATGAAAAAGCTGAGGTACAAAAAATTTCCTTTGTTCATGCACTTGAGTTTTATAATAACAGTGAAATGCTTTAGTATACTTAGTATTTTATCTGTTATAGACAAATGTGTCTAACAGAGTACTAGACTGATGTCGAGGGGGACAGAAATGCCTGTTCTGCTTTTATATATGCTATTGCAGAATCTGAGATCACTAGACAGGAGTCTAACCTTTCTTATACTCAAGTAACTCTTCACTTCAGTGTAAATGAGTCAGATGATTCCACTGATCGCAACAGCAAATTTTGCTGTATTTCAGATCTTTGCTAGGTCTGAAATCATCCCCCTAAAGTCTGAAGGCTCATACCTTAACACTCATACCTGTGGATTAATACACTCTTCCCAAGCATCCTTGGTGTATCATGCTAGTCCTTATCAGGTACCAGCAGGGTTGGTGTTTTGGTTCTTTTAGGACTTGTTGTTCCATGGCTAGAGGGCACAGGTGGCCATCCAGAGTAGAATATGAGTGGAAAAAATGGAAACATAGCATGATAAGAAAGGGTTTTAACTTTCAGTTGTTGACAGCCTGCACAGAAGCATGCATCACCTAAAAGCTTGCTTGGCAAAGACCTGTTGTTTTCTCCTGCTTTGTAAAGGACATCTCTATTATTTATCACAGAAATTCTTGTTCTCTGCTTTTTAATGCCTTTTTGGAGTTATTATTTGCAGGTTGAGGGCCTATCCCTTCTTTTTCAGCACAGTGATTTTCATAGGTGGTCACAGGTAGGATACTGAAGAAAATAAGGGACTCATTCACTGTCTCTGTGTATTATCAAAGTGATGGCTATCCAAAGCTCTTGTTCTCTTTTCTGCTTCCCACCTAACATGAACCCATTTCATCTTAAAACAGACCCTTGTACAAACACAGAACATGTAGTGTTAATTATTTGGTAATACAGTAGTTATTACCCAGTAATGCTCAGTTAGATATCGCTGAGTTCGGAATCAAACCCAGAGCTGCTTGACACAATGTAAGAGATAACTGCCTCCTTTAGCCTTGCTATGGAGATAAGATCTGAAGTCTCCTTAATCAGCGCTGTCCACTCATACAGAATCACAGAATGTTAGGGCTTGTAAGGGACGTCGAAAGATCATCTAGTCCAACCCCCCTTCTAAAGCAGAACCACCTAGAGTAGGTCAAAGAGGAGTGTGTCCAGGCGGGTTTTGAATGTCT